TCTTTCCTTTTTTGCACGGCGAAGGAAATATAAATTCTTTTTCTTCAAAGATTTCCTCCTTCCAAGATTCATCCTCGTTCGGGATTCTTCGCATCACCGAGCTGTGTAAACCACGGCTGTCCCCTCCCTCTCTCTTTCTGTCTTCCGTTTTTCTTTTTTATGCATCTTTCTTTCTCTCTTCTTCCGACAAAATGGCGCGATCGAAGATACGCGCACGCTAATCGAACAATTACGGAATACCGATTAATAATTCCATTCTCCTAAGGGCGGCGGCTTCGTTATGTGAGCGCGTGTTCGTTATGTACATTTGTTCCGCAGGAACAAAGGGGGTCCTTGGATCGATCACACGTACACGGTTCTCTCCTCATCGATCACGATCAACTCTCGAGATCCAAGATACTTTCTTTATCTTCCTTTCTCTCTCGATCCCTCTCCGTCTTTTTCTCGTTGTTCCGCTTCAGCAGGTACAAGGTAAACCGGAGTACTCTCGCGAGAGGTACTCTCGAAACGCTTCTTTTTCGCCTCCAGTTTCCAGATTCGCCGAGATGAGGGAACCAAGTATATATATTATAAATATACCGATCGATACCGTTCTTCTTCTCTCTTCCGTGCTCGATCGATCGTTACGAACACGCGCGCCGCAACGCTTACCCGTCTCTCTTCTTTTTTCTTTCCTCTCCTCCGTTTTTTGCATTCTGTGTGTACATTGGCGTAGTACATTAACGATGAGAAGCGTAATGTAAAAAATCTATAAAAAAAAAAAGAAAAAAAAGAAAAGAAAAAAAGAAAAAAATAAAAGAAGGCTGGCCCGTCTTTTCGACCCTCTTTTACAAACTACGCGCACGTCCTCCTCTTTTTTCTTTTTTTTTTTTTCCCCTCCTCTCTCTTCTCGCTTCCCTTCTTCCTTCCCTCCACACAAATTCCATTCAACAAATCCCTCGAAACTGATCGCCTTTCTTTTTCTTTTCCCTTCATCCTCCATCCCTTTAAATTTGCTCCTCTCTCGTGTAGTCTTTACTTGTGTGTCTCTTACTCTTTCCTAACCTTCATGTATATAATATATATTTATAGATATCTATATACATACACGTGTCTATGTATATACATATCATGGCTAGTCGAAAATTGAGGCTCAATATGCTCGGCAGTCTATTGTCTCTCTTGGCTCTTCTTCTTCTTCCTCTTCCTCTTTTTCTTCCTAGTTCTATATCCGATCTCTTTCTCCGATCTCGCTTCTTCCATAGCTTCCTCCACAGCCTGTATACTCTCTTTTCATTCCTCCACGTCTTTTCACTTTGTGTCCATGTATATTTTATCTTCCCTGTACAACTTCTTCTTACTTCTCTTCCTTCTTCTCTTTCTTTTTCTTCAGGCTGTCGAAAAAATTCCCTTCTTCTTCTTCTTCTTCTTCTTCTTCTTCGTTCAACGTCTCTCTTCGCGTGAAGAGAACAAACTCGTCCGCACGTTCATCATCCATTCGCGATTTCGGAGAAGAATTTTATTCCCACTGGTGAGGAGAGGGTGGCAGTTCCGAAGGATGAGCCACTGTGGAGCTGCAAGTCGTACGAACAGATCATTAGTGCTTGCTATTTTAAGAGAAAACGAGTCTTTTTTTTTTTAATAGCTTTTTTTTGATTTTTCTCTTTTCATCGTTCGCTCTTTTTTTTTTTTTTTTTTAAATAATTCGGGGATGTTTATTGTCTCAAGTGAGAACTCAAGCGGGAGAAACAGAGGTGTAACTACTTTTCAAATCTCCGCTTCCGTGCTTTCAAAAAAAAAAAAAAAAGAAAAAGAAGAAAAAGAAAAAAAAAGAAAAAAACACAAGGACTGGGGACTTGGTAAAATCTTGGAAATTTTTCTACGTATACGTTTATACGTAGCTCTCTCTCTCTTTCTGTCTGTTCTTCTTCCTCTTCGTATTTTTAGCAGCTTTACTAAGCCCCACAGTCTTCGAGAGTATCTTCGAGCCAAGATCAACGAGACGACTCGAGGGATTCTTTTTTTCTTTTCTGCAATTTTTCAACAAGACAAGTATTATGAAATTACAAGATTGTACAGCGTTATTTATTATTTTTTTTTTTTTTTTGGAATTTTCGTTTAGAAGGGAGACGATCAATGCGATATATCGACAGTTGGCTCGACGATACCCTTTGCGCGGAGATTTGAACACTAAGAAACTGTACACGACGAAAGTGCAAAGTGCTCCTCGCTATCGTAAAGGTTTATTTTACGTGGGCAATCGTCGAAAGCATACGTTCATACGGCACTTCGAGTTTCGTCGAATCTAAACAATCGGGCTAAGGGATGATATGGTATGGTGATTCCAAAAAAAGGGGGATGGGGCAGCATATCGTCAACGAGTGGCAGCAGTGCGTCTCGAAAGTGTCGAAATACAAACGGTGAGAGGATGTACTGAACTCAACTCAAATCGAATTAAATTAAAGACAGATCAAAATGTAAAATAAAATAAAAATAA